TGCTGGGCTATGCTTGGTTTGTCAAATATGACTTTAAAATTTAGAATATTATAGTACTGCTCAGGACCAATGCTTCAAGCAGAACCGATGTTGATCATGCGCGAGCTGCTGTGGCTTCAACCGCCTGCTCGGCTAAAGAGAAATGTCTCCCTGTGCTGCAAGCCAACCAGGATGTATTCAGTAACTTGGCTAGATTATATAGGAGGTGATGTCCTAGTGTAGCTTGCACAGTAGCAATCATCAGCTGCGATTCCAAGGTGTTCTGGCTGTGTATATCGAGATGACTGGCAAGAAGGTGGACAAGGGGAATGACCTGAAGGAGCTTATCATGCATATGCTAGTATCGACCCAAACTGTACCATCTATTGTGCCTGGCAGGACAAGCTGCATGACAATGGAACCAAGAGGGCTATCGAGCTTCTCTACTGAATAGCCCACACATGTGCCAATGATGCAGCCATGCTTAAATTCTTAATTTGACTGAATCCCAGGTTGGCTACAGAGCTGAAGCCCAAAGTTGAGGAGCTCGATCGGTTCAACAGATCTCTTCTGAAGTTTCAGGAGGATGCGGTTCTTGATGCTGGCACGCCACCCTCCCGGATGCTTGGATCGAATTATATTCAATCATGATCATACAGTACAGGAGTCATCATGCAGGCATATTGCTGTAACGGTTTGGCAGCCATGTGTACACTGAGGGACACGAAGCAAAAGCTCCTGGCCTGCTATGCCCAATGCACCCGGCTAGATTTGGCTATCAATGCAATGGTGGTGCGAGCGAGGCATGTATCGAATCCAAAGCCTTCATTTGTCTGCTGGCATGTGCACTGCATGTGCTGATTATGGAATGTCATGTTTGCCAGGTCCCATGCAAAGGCGCCACCGAAGAAAAAAGGTACCACTCCCAGCCCCAAGGCTTTGAAGTCTGGTGGGAAGAGGAAGGGCTCGCCTGCTTCTGCAAAGAGTGCCCCCAAGAGGAAGCGCTCCTGAGTTTTGTTTGGATGGCCAGAGCAGTGGCGGCATGCCTGCATATAATATGCATGCATCGAGAGGCTGTTACCATATATAGTGCAGTGGGGTTATGCTATCGTACTCTAGGAGTATAGTGCAGGCCTTGCCACATGCAGGTTCCAACCGATGCTGCTTCGTGTGTGAATACACATGCACAAGCACAATTCCGATAGTTCCCCTAGCATACCATGAATGGTCATGCGGGCAAATTGCATGCATGCATTATGAGTTCTGGGCCACGAGAGCAAAAAATCGAGAGGGTTGCCACTCACTGCTTTGGAAGTTCTGGCTTGTCCATGCTGATCGAATCATACTGGGAAAAGCGCTATTCCTGCATGCCAGGTTCTGGAGGTGTCAATGATGCAACCCTGAATCTCTTGGTGGATGGAATCTTGACTCAAAACTTAATACGATGTACACCAATCGAACGATAAAGTCATGTATTCTGGAATTGAGGTCCTCGCTCTTCCCGGCAGCAAGAAGATCATGACCTCGATCAAGAAGCTGCGGCTGAAATCATGTCAAAATACTTCAATGGAGTTCCTAAGCTGTACTAGCCAGCAGGGTTTGCACCACCATGTCGTGATTTGATCAGGCAGAATCTGCCAAAGGGACAGCGGCTACTGCAACACTGATGTGCAAGATTGGGGGTGGCATACGACACCAAGCTGCAATAATATTTTGGCCTTAAGTGGCTTGAGCTCAGTCTTTCGATCCATTATATCATATGATCTCTAGGACAACTGGACCTGCTCTACAAGCTTTCAGCTGCTGGACGTACAAATTCGAACACGTGTCGAAACCTTCATCGGCTCATACATCGTGAGAATATGACGGTACCAGTGAGCATCAACTTTGTGAATGTTCCAGTTCGACGGAGACGCCCGACTCTCAAGAAGGTGGAGATTGCCTACCCGGTGATCTATCCAAGCAGTTGGATGAAGTATCTGCTGCGAGAGCAGAGCTACCTGGTCTTAGGTGGAATCGGTATCGAGGATACAGCAAAGTGGCAAGCCATGCTTTCAGAGTTTTGGAAGTTGCACAATGAGTTTGACCCTTCACATATCATGAACGAGCCCAATACCCCGCCTTTGACTCACACAGTTCCGCTATACATACACGGTGACGAAGGAAGGGGGAAGTACAAGCTTCCCATAATGGTGGAAGGTATCCAGCCATGCATATCCTTCAAAGGTACGTCGTTCAAGAACAGCAGTGGGCCACTCAATCCAGCATGAGCCGTATAGTTTTGCATTGTAAACCCCTAACCCGACAAATCGACTAGCTGTAAATTCTAAATGTATATATAAACCCCAAACTAAGCTCTACGGAATAATCTGCTATGATCGTATCGTATGTATCCCATTGTGCCTGGCACAGGCACAGCTACTGTACTCGATTCCTCTACACTGTCGTGCCGGCTGAACTATACTGGAAAGATGAAACTCTGGATAAGCTTAATGAGGCTTTCGCTGCAGACCTTTCTGATTTGTACAACAAAGGTATTACTGCTGCTAGGTTACAAACTTAAGTACAATTATAATTTCATGTTATACCGTGGGCCTAGGGTTGATCACAAAAAAATAAATCGCATGGGCTGGGATCAACACTAGTCAACCATTAGCTGAGGTCGACTCTCCTCTGGGGCCTACCACCTTCTACTTTTGTTTGGTGGGAGTGAAAGGTGACTGGGTATACCTGAGGAAGGTGGGAACCCGGCTATGTTGATGTGATTGCTTGCCCATACGATCATGCAGTATGCAAGCATGCAGTGTTTTGCATGAGGCGATGGCTTTGAAAACTGGCTGGCAATGTGCACGCAAGTGCCATCTATGCAGCAGTGAGGTTTCTGGGCTTCGATCAGCTAGTACTATGGATCAACATGTCCTGATGCACAAGCCCTCCAACAAATCCAAACTGATCATTTCAGGAGTGGTTCAACCTCGCAATGGATGCACCCTGGCGCTCTGCTGGTGAGGGCCCGACGCCGTTCAAAGTGAATCCATCGCCCCTGTTCGCCGTGCCTGGGCTGGGAGCTCCGCAGCGTGCTTTGGTCGATCCGGCCCACACGTGGCACATCGGGTCACTGAGAAGCATTAATTAAGTCGTTGAATGGTATGATATCGCTTAATTTATGTCATGTGTGCTGCTGGAGGTGTGGCCGGGATTTTGCTGCTTCAGGAGTTGTGCTGGTATGCCGACTGGGAATATTTCGTGGGCGGTCTTTGAAAGCTCGCCTCAACAAAGCATATGCTGACTTCATCAAGTGGTGCTGTGTTGCCACTCATATTCGAGGATTCTCACCAAGTGCCTTCAAGATGGGCAAGATCCTGTGATATTCGAATTAATATAGGATTTTGCCCTACCATCAATAATGGTTTATAAGCTATGTATTAATTGGTCGGTTGTGCTTCGATATCCATGATCTGCAATTAAGGTCTTCGAGTTTTCCTTCGGCTACAGGTGGCAGAGGTGCTGACACAGCCATTCTGACTTCATGGCTGGAGAACCTTTTGTCAAGGTGTGAGCCCATGCCTGCTTTAAAATAGCATAACCTAGGCTGGTAGTCAATATATCTTAATTGATTATAAAATGCCCCAAATTCCAAACCCTGCCCTAAACTAAGGAATGCTCTGAAGACCTCTTGCAAATGTTGAAGTATGCTGTTGGCTGTGCTAACAGATACTTTCGGCTGCTTCACTATGAAGGGCTCTGGTTGGAACCTGCGACCAGCAAGCTAATTGTAGAAGCTGGAGACGAGATGTGTGCATCCTGGCTCGTTATGATTCTGTGGTACGGTAATGGCCCAATCCGAAAAATATTATCCCAAGCAATCTCAGGCTGGATACGTTGTCCTCGCCCGACGCTGCCTTGAGACGACGACCTGGAAACTATTCCGTATGCGGCCGAAACTGCACATGCAGGCTCATTTCACGTGGCTTGCTGGCAAATTCAGTGCTAGCCCCTAATCTGCTATAGATCTTAATGCACGCTGTAACAAACCAAGCATACCGATTCTACAAGCGGCAGCACGTGGCCGCAAAGCACTCAATCCGCTCAGCCACATCGCTGCAATATGATGTGCACGTAATGAGTTGGCATAACGCTGTGTGGGAAAGGAATGTGCGGTGTTTCATATGGGCAACTAAGACCAAGCATGCTGGTCCGATGAGGACTTTATTGGCCGGGCAGCGCGGCTTGCCCGGCGAAGTGGGACTCATGCATTGAGTGTTGCCTATAGATCGATGCAGAAAATGCTCGGGGCTTACAAAGTGCAGCTCGAGAAGCAAGCGGCAGAGCGCTGCAGAGGAGGCAAAAAAACAACTGAGAGCGCGGCTCTTTCAGCTTTGATCTCGATGCCATACATCATGAACATCAGCTGGGATATCAGAGCATTCGTTCTTTACGAGCGTTTATTGGGTTATCGAGCGTTTCTTCCCGGAAACGCACCAAAATACAATCCCGAAACGAAGCGAGCAACAAACTTGCACGTGCAAGAATTTATAGCACAAAGGGTTCTCCAGGTATATATATGTGTGTATACGTATATGTGTATGTATATGTATATATATATATATATATATACATATATGTGTGTATACGTATATGTATATGTATATCTATATGTTTATCTATATGTATGTCCATATGTATGTGTGTATATATATATATAGAAGCTCTATGTTGTATGCGGATACGCATGCCTGCACATGTGACTTTCTCCTTCTGTCTCTTTATTTCGTTCTTGATTTGTCGTTTTGTCGCTGTTTTTGTCTTTGCTTCTGTCGTTCTATCCATCTGCATGCTTTTCATTTTTGTCTGTCGTTCTGTCTTTGCAGTGCTGGTTTGTTTCTCACTCTCTCGATGAATGAATAAGTAAATCAATAAACTTTTTGTATATATATATATATATATACACACACAGCCGCGCATACACAAGGACATGCCCACTAGTCACTAGCGCACTCCTCGACAGTCCAGATATTCAGGTGGTTGATGTACAGCTCGGCTCACCGAACGTTCGCATGCTGCCATGCTCCTGGCAGTTGTTGTCAAACGTCTTGATTAGCTGTAGACTGTAGACCCTGTAAACCCTGCACACCTTAAGGCTAAGAGATGGGGTTCAGGGTTAGCCACCTTAAGTTCTAAACTTAAGCCCTTAACCATCGTTCTTTGGAAGAGTTTGTTTCCGGGCATGAGGCCAAGTATCTCCAACTGTCTGAAAATTCTTGTAGAGCCACCGGGTCTTTGAACATCACTGATTTCCGCTGTTCTTTGGCACCTTGCTTTCTCTGCGCTTCAGTATAAGGGGGTACATATGGGATATCCCTACCCAACGTTTTTCTCATGTGCTTTTCTAAAGCCCTGTGTGACGAGTGAGGATTTTCGGTCTGGGGGCTGTAGTCCCTCGGCACTGACAAGGCGACAGCTCCCCTGCACCCGAAACCCTCGGCCCCTGTCACCTGTAAACCCGAAATGCTACCTTCCAACTAAACCCTGATTGACCATCGCCGTTCCGTACTTCCGAGCCTTTGTTTGGCTAGCGGTTGGCACCTTGCCCGCCTTTTTGGGGGGGGCCTGGTTCATGAAAGCTTTCTCATTTGCATTGTCCTCCGCATCCTTCACGCTACCATCATCGTCATCATCAGCAGTAATTTTAAAGTTTGTTTATCACATCAGTCCCTGGCACCAGCACCCGAAATTATCATCACAGCGTTCTTAATTTTGTCTCTCAGCGTTAACCTGTTAAACCGTCACGAGCTGCTGAACCCTACTGCCGCAGAGCGGCAGGAACCCTCAACCCTAAATCTGTCGTCATCTAAACTCCCGACGGGGTACCACATGTAGTATATACTGTGAGGTCCCGAAGATATAAATGCTGTTTGCAGAAGGACTTTTGGCCTCCCCAACTCTAGATCCCTTAACCTTACCAGAGCCCCTGAAAGCATAAAACAAAGCAACAACCAGTTCAGCTGAGGTGTTGTTTGATGATGCCTGGCATGGAGGCAGAAGCCGAGGCAATGTGTACACACAGTAACCTGGAGGTTGGGCGCGTAACGATGGTTCTGTTTGGCCATGGAATCTGGGGCAACAGCCCCAAAAAGATTTAGGTCTCGGTTGTAGGGCGTTTTTTGAGGTTTTAGGGCATAGTTCAGGGTTTTAGGCTTTAGGATTTAGGGTAGGGTTGGGGCGCTTCGGGTCTTTGGCCTCAGGTTTTGTTTCAGTTCAACTCGCGGCTTGAAGCCCTCCTGAGTTTTCAAACCAGAAGGGTCGGGGCAGCCACATGTCCTGATGATGACGTGATCGCACCCTCAATAGGGTTTAGGGTTTAAGATAAGTTGGATGGAACAACTTGTATCGTTGCAACTGCATGATCATTTCGGTCTCGAGGGCGAGAGGAATGCAATGCTTGAACATATTGAACTCAGTGGAGTCGTTGACAGTACCCTACGATAGTAAGTCTACTGCCTTCAGCTACCCGCTACCTCTCTCTCGAATACCCCTTGGGCCAACCAGACTCAGCTCAAAGCTGTGCCTCCCGGTAAGGGGCCTGAATACTTTGTTGTCGGGTAGTCCCTAAAGACTTTTTTAAAATTACAATAATCTTGCAGCCACCTCCCAGTCAAAAATTTAGACCTCATGCAAAAGCCCAGATTCCTCTTGCGAGGCCCTCGGCATTAAGCGTCCGGTGCATGGGGGTAAGACCGACGTGGATGAAGAGGACACTGGAACCAAGACCAAAGGCGACCTGGTGTCAGCCAAGGGAGGTCTGATCAGTTAAATTCGGAGTCCCGGGTGGTGTGCATGGAACGGGGAGACGATAGAAGCGCCGGAGAGACAGACAGATAGGCAGATGGACCTATAACAGGAAACGGCCTGGTCTCGGAAAGGAGGAGGTCCATAGACAGACAGGACGGACAGACGGCGAAGGGGGAGAAACATCAATCGCGAGTTACGCAGACCCATAAGTACCGTTCCTGCCCAAAGGGCCCTACGTACTGTTATAAGGGATACGTCCCAAGGGCATGATATAATATTTCCTAATAATATGGAAACCCTACACTCTACTATAGGTACATGGGACCCTTCTGGCTGTGATTTGCAAGGCTCATATGATCGAGAAGATAGGAAAGCTTGAGACTCCAGGTGCTGACTCAAGTTCATCTCCCTAGATCTCAAGCCCCAGACCTCAAACCCTGAACAAACCATAAACACTCAAAGCTCCTCGAAGAGTGAAACCCAAGCCCAAAATCCGAGCCCAAGCCCCAAACGCCCCGCAGGACATCGAAGTCCACGCTCTGATGCAGGATCTCGTGGAGGGGTCGGCGGATCCCAGAGTCACAGCACGTGAAGTCATCCCGCAAGAGGTCTTCAATTAAGTAGTTTGGGCTTGGGGGCTAGGTCCTGCAATAACCCGGACGAACCTACATGTTTAAGGACTCGCAAAAGGAAATCAGAATAAGGAACCCCAAAAAAAGGTCGGTTGTTCAGGGTTAAGGTGTAGATTCAAGCCCTAAACCCTAAACCCTAAACCCTAAACCCTAAACCCTACACCCTCCAACTCAAGGGATAAGGCCTTGGGTTGAGACCTGAGGCTTTCTGGGTTGAGGGTCGGCCGGAGGATTTGGCTTCGGACAGTTTGACTAAAAAACAGAGATGTACATATACCTTAATTATAATAGAATATGTATATGTATATATATATATATATATATATAAATAATATCAAATAATGTTAACTATCATTATCTGTTCAGATCAAAGCCAGAAGACCTGGCAGGAAGGATCCCGCTTCCCAGTTCTTCTCGAAGGTTGATTGGGGCGAGCTGAGCTAAGATTAGCTTGTGCATAGACATGCCTATGAACATCCATTTGTGTTTCAGTATTATCGATCGAGCCCTCCATCTGTCGATCGATCGGTTTTTCCATCTACACATACATTAGGCGCGCAGACTTACTAAGCAGAACAGGCATAATGTGTTTGTATACATGTGTATATACGTATATATATATATATATACGTACATACGTACATACATACATACATAATTAATGCACACATCTGACGTGTTTCACATCGCAGGCCTTATCTACAAACATACAAAGTTGACAAAGCAGTGTACGTAAACTGCAGAATATATAGAATATACAGCTTGTTTCGTGTGCATATCACATAACATACATAGGGCACAACGCAAGCAATATAAACACACATCTAAATACACTCGCACAGACTGGCAGACACATGCACTGACAGACACACACACACACACACACATATATATATATATATATATATACATATAGAATTTGTGTATCTATATTGTATTATATTATGTTATGTTTTATGATATTATATATATATGGTCACACCCCCCCATGATCCATACCATGCTTTTTTCTACCTGCTGCTGCTCATGCTTCGATTTCTACATGACTTCACCTACATACAAAATCATCGGTATTTGCGGTATTTTCTGCACCTGACATCTACTTAACTCTACATTTTATAATTTGTTCTCACATGTTATATCCCTACGAAGCCCGAAACGGATTCTGATTTCACTTTCGGGCTCCGCTCTTCCGTCCAAAACCTGGCACTCCATGTTTCAGGAGGCATCACCGGTGGTTGTGCAAAAACTTCAACATGTTGCCTGTCACTGTCCACATGTTTTGGTGCCGATGCCAATACTCAAACTGGCAGCTTCGAATCTTCCTGGTCATTGCCTGATTGCCTGGAAAGCGTGGTGCATACTTCAAGTGTGTTCATAATATTATAGCACGAACGCTAACACTACAACTAATACTTATCACAATAATATTTATACTAACATCAATATTTGCAATAGTATTGATACTCCTACTAGTGCGAATACATAAACTCTTGTGGTGTTAACAGTAATGCTATCAACAACACTGATACGGATATTGATCATCTGTTGAATACTCAAGAATGCCAGTACTATTACCAGCATGAACACTTACATTATGGCTAGTACGACTATGAGTAGTCCTAATTCCAATATCAACATTAATACTCTTACGAATACCAATAGTATATTCGTATTGATATGAATACTAATCTCTTTACTAATAGACACCTGCATATACTAATGTACATAAAAAATACATACCACTATCTTAAGATACAGATATATACATTAGTGCATTCATGTACTAATGTCTTGGCATAAGCATATACCCATATACCAATGTAACAGTATACTTCTCGTTGTTGTATGAATATACTATACTAATATGCGAGTATACTAATATACGACTACTGCAATATGCACGTATACCGACATGACAAATTAGTAGACTAACATGCCAACATACTGATATACTTGTAAATATGACTCGACAATACATGAATACAGTACACATACTAGTAAACTAATACACCAATATACTAGTGTACTCGTGCACCAGTTGTACTAACATATCAAAAATACTAGTATACAAAAATACAAATATGTTACTGTTCGAATACATTAATGTATTGATATACGAGTCTGCTACTATACGAAACTATCAAAATACTTCGATATCAAAACTAGTTCTAATATTGTTACTATACTAGCACTTCTGCGAATATAAGCTGCGATTAAACCCAGCATTAAGACTGACACTGATACTAGCAGTGGTGCTGTATTACTGACATTGACACTGGCACTAGCGCTAACTCTAACACGAGCATGAGCACTAACACTAATTCATATTTACTAATATTGACATGTATACTTACAGCGAACACTAGTACTAATATTAATCACAATACTCATCCTAATATCGATACTTCCACAAAACCATTACGTAACTCATGTGCCGCACGCCTGGTGCATGAGTCCTCAGTACATAGCATGTCAAAGTATATGTTGTATATCTACTGCAAATGTTTCACTTTACGGATTGTCGTCGGGTGTGGTGTGCTTGGATACAATATCTCAAGGAATTGGAAAAAGCATGTGCCATGTGTATACACGTGACAAACAAAGACATAATAGGAACACAGCATCCAAGGTTAGCAACTGCCGCCTGCCTCGAAAATCCCCAAAATTTGTAAAGCCCGAAATGCGAAAACATCGGCAGAGCTCAAAAATCCCCAAAATTCCCAAAACCATGGCATCTATGGGGCCATGGGTGTTTAGTTTTGCAAAACTTTGGGGATTTTCGAGCCTGGCAACGTTTTAGCATCCGACGTTGACGAAATACCGCCAGGCTCGAAAATCCCCAAAATTTGTAAAGCCTGAAATGCGAAAACATTGGCAGGGATCAAAAATCCCCAAAATTCCCAAAATCCTGGCATCTATGCGGAGTGCGGGGCCATAGTCTCTCATATTTTGGGGATTTTGGGGAATTTTTGATCCCTGCCAGTGTTTTCGCACTTCAGGCTTCAGGAATTTTGGGGATTTTCGAGCCTGGCAGTGTTTTAGCATCCGACGTTGACGAAATGCCGCCAGGCTCGAAAATCCCCAAAATTTGTAAAGCCTGAAATGCGAAAACATTGGCAGGGATCAAAAATCCCCAAAATTCCCAAAATCCTGGCATCTATGCGGAGTGCGGGGCCATAGTCTCTCATATTTTGGGGATTTTGGGAATTTTTGATCCCTGCCAGTGTTTTCGCACTTCAGGCTTCAGGAATTTTGGGGATTTTCGAGCCTGGCAGTGTTTTAGCATCCGACGTTGACGAAATGCCGCCAGGCTCGAAAATCCCCAAAATTTGTAAAGCCTGAAATGCGAAAACATTGGCAGGGATCAAAAATCACCAAAATTCCCAAAATCCTGGCATCTATGCGGAGTGCGGGGCCATAGTCTCTCATATTTTGGGGATTTTGGGAATTTTTGATCCCTGCCAGTGTTTTCGCACTTCAGGCTTCAGGAATTTGGGGGATTTTCGAGCCTGGCAGTGTTTTAGCATCCGAAGCTGCCCACCTCCCGTGATCCACTGCTTACGAAAAGCAAGCATAGTATGGATCATGGGGGGGGGCGTAAGCATATATATATATATATATATATATATAGGGCATATGGGCATCCATACATGCATACATACGTACATACATACTACGAGCAAAAAATCAAGCCTGCGAGGAAGCAAATACACCATCAACAAAGCACGGTAAGGACAAAAACAACAACAACACGCCAATCAAACAAGCGCACGCGACAACACACAAGAAAGCAAACCAACAAACAAACACACGACACAAGCACCCAAACAATCACACAACCACACAAACATACGAGCAAGCAATCACACAAACGCACAAACAAGCAAGCAAACAAACAAAACATCAGATAAGCAGACACACACACAAACCAACCAGCTAACCAACCAACCAGCAAACAGGGAAGCAAGCAAACCAGCAAACAACCCTACAAACAAACACACAAGGAAAAACAAACAACCAAGCAAGCAAGCAAGCACACAGACAATCAAACGCGCCAACAAACAACCAAGCAGAGTGACAAACTTGCAAACAAACAGGCATAGGTAGACAACCAAACAACCATACAACAATGCAATAAAAAGACAAGAAAACAAGCCAGCAAGCGAGCGAGCAAACTCACGCGTACAAACAAACAAACACAGACGGACATACATGCATACATGCAAGCAGAAAGCCGGCAAACAAGCCAACACACAAGCAAGCAGCGAGCAAGCAAGCAAACAAACACACACACACACACACACACACTAATACAAACCAAAAGCGCAAGGAAGCAAACAAGCAAGCAAGCAAGCAAACGCGCGCACACACACACACACACACATGCTCACAACCACAAACCAACAAGCACCAACGCTTCTACACAAGCCGATGACCAACCAAACACACAGACAAGCAAGCAAGCACACACACACAAACAAACAATCAAATAACACGCAACCCAGCAACACACACGAACAACCAAGCGTACATACATAGAATGCCTACATTCATACATGCACACATACATACATACATACGTTGAACCAATGTGGATATCAGGGAACACGATTGGCAACTGTTTGAAGCTTCTTGCTCTCCAGAAGCCCGAACCAATGTTCAGGTTGTCCGCACTTGAAGCGGGTTAATTATGTCAAAGGTCCATAGGATAACACCCCTGATACCCCAACCCCAACACGTTTAGATGTTATAGTAGAAGCCGGAAAGTTGGAATATCATTATCATAATCCCTTTAAGGTAAATTATAGGGGATCCTGCCATTATTCCATATTCCAACTTTCTGGAGTTCCCTTAAGCCGTAAGAGCTAGAATCCCACATCCAGCTCAGGGCAGAGCCTCGGGTGGCTTCTGGAGCTCTGCAGCTGGACGGTGAACTCAGCCGCTGCCTAAGCGTGCCACTATAGTACCCTTAATCCCTTTTTGTAGTCCTACGGTTGATGATATAAATCCTGCACTACCTTAAGGAGCATAGGCTCGCCTTGCTTGCGGGGTTGTTAGGGACTGTTCTCGCGCAGAGTTTAGGGCTTAGGCTGGCGCAGTGGTTTGGGATGTGCAGTTTCCTGAACAAAAAATGTAGCAATGCAGCACCGAGTTGCTTCCAGTACTTGAGGCGTCACTGCCACAAGCATGAGGGTCCATTAAGGTGGACCAAGCGGAAGACCGTCATAATATCCTTTTATAGACCATAGGGACCCATATGGAAAGGTTTAGCGTTGCTGTTGCATGAACCCCCCGAGGGCGATGCTTCGTTTCATTGCCCCCGGCCTACGTTCCTGTGCACATTGGTAGTTACAGAATGTGTACGTTATGTTATGGCAGTATGATTGATAACCTACCCGTATTGTATGCTATTATTTTGCCTTCCATACATGGCATATGCCAAAGCTAATGTTGTTTTCATTAGGGTGCTTAAAGAGGGTGCCGGAAATGACCCAGGTGTTTCTGCGACTGCTGCGCAGCGCGCCGCAGCCGTGGCAGAGAAGGAGCACTTGGGGCTCTGCGCGACTGATTTTTTTGGGTGTGCTCTACCGTCAACTGCCAGAGCCTGCCTTTTTCGTAAGTTCTTATCACGAACCCGAATATCGGATTTTTAGGGGCTCTACAAAATGCACTTTATGGTGGTTTAAGATATATAGGCTTTTTAAGTTTCGGGCTGTCCGGTTGCTTGACTTCTGAAAGGCAGCCATGGTGATACTCGCAGGCTTGTGGATGTGTCGACCTAGATAGCCAGAGCTTGTAGCGAACAGGACATTATGAGCCCAGCGTTTGAGATCACTGCAGTTGTGTTGAAGCTCTGTTGCTAGCTTCAGGGTTCAGTTCGTAGGTATTGTAGGATGGCTCCAGCTGCGGGGAGGGTAAGGGAGCCGTTGCACATACTTCTGTTCGGTGCTCAGGTCTTGCTGTGTGCGGAGTTGCTGAATAAATAGAGCCTTGGAAACCCCAAAGGCCTAAAACCACAGCGAAGTAGAACAGAACCACTGAGTATGAAGGGCCGGATTCGAAAACTCAATAGGGGTACCGTATTTTGGGGTCCTTCTACTAAGCCTAAGCATCCTATTATTTAGGGTACCATATTAGGGTCCCCTGTTTTCGAAAACTCAACAGACGTCGCCTGGAACCTTAAACCCTTCAGGCCCGTGAAACTTCAGACTTCAGACATGGGAGTTTCCGAAGATAGGGGGTACCTTATTTGGGGGTTCTTGTAATAAGGATCCTACTATTTACGGTACTATGTTGGGGTTTCCTTTTTTCGGACACTCCCACATGGACCCAGAACCCTCTCTACGGCTACGGTTTAGCTCTTAGGGCTTTGGGGTTCGGGGGGGTGAGATTGAAGCGCAAAATGACAAAATGCCTTCAGGCTCTTTAGAGCATGAAAACTGGTATTCCTAAGGGGTGATTACGTGAAATAAAGGGACAAACCAACTAAGTTAACACAAACCTTGAAAGGTAATCCTCAAATGTTAAGGACCAATGCCCTGAATCACCCGAGAACTTCCATCGAACGCTTCGAAATTTTCCTCAGCCAAAACAGCCTTCCGTCGGACAAGTGCATCTGCCTGTACTTAGGGATCTCAACTCACACGCACTCCCCCTCACTCTTCACTCCAAGTGAAGAGTGATCGGAAGCTTCCTCTGGAAAACAGCGTCGCGGCTATGAAATCACCACTCGTGAGATCCCATCTGTTCCATGCACCTTGCTGTCCGCTCTTCAGCTTCAGGGGGACAAAAGCCAAGCTCAATTCCGAACTCACTCTTTCTGGCGAGCCCTTTTAAAGGGTAATTCGAACACGAGCTCTTTCACGGCATCCCCTTTTTTCAAACACTAACCTTTAGCAAGGAGGAGGTGAGCTAATAACCCCAACAACGCTACTGGTTGCTATAAAAGCCTAGAACTTACAGATCTAGAGGGTTGCAACCCCTTGCCTCTCTCCCGCTGACTCAAAGCTGCTACTAGCTGTGGCCTACCCGTTCGAAGTCCTTGTTCTAGAGGATTCAGTCAGAGTCCGACGAAGAAACATCCCCAGCTTCAATCCGAACTAGATACGAACCAATCAAAGAGTGGAACTCTGCCTGAATCTTCTCCGGGTAGCCTTCGGCATCAATCTTGAAACCGGCACGCCATAAGCAAAATAAGATGCGCGCCCGGTGAGGGACTTCATTCCCAAGTGGCATCGGCACAATCCCAAAGGAGTTCGTCTGGCTTTCAGCTTCCCTAAAAATCCGGTTGCTACGGCACAACCGCAACAACCAGAATCGAATGATTTCCCAGGCTCCAATCGCAATACAGCAGCAACAAAGCACCGAAAAAGATGTCCCGTCGCAATCGGACCCTAACTCACCAGCGATCACAAGCTCATCGGTCTTCGGGCGAATTTGCAGTTGGGCAGTTAAGGAGGGGCCTTCACAGCCTGGATCTTCAGTTAACTCAACCAGTTCCGCTCGGGCACTCTGAACCAACATGACCCAAAAGATCACTAGCCGAACCCAAACCCCTAGCGGCCCCTGAAAGAACCCTCGCCAAGAGTCACTCCTATATCCCGTCCCTTCAGGAACCTCAGTTCGGTCACTCCCCCGATCCTCTAGAGCCTGTCTCCAATCAGCCCAATCCCCAGACTCAATACCCCACACAATGGCCTGCACCTCGGTCTCCGACCAACCCTGAAGGGGAACATCAAAGTAGTCATCTACATAGAACACCCTTAAAAACCCTTCAAAGGCTGCGTAACGCGTAGCTGCCGGGGCAGGGAACTCTTCTCGCTCTCGCCCAGGCTCCGAAAAAACTGGCTCACACTCAGTCGAAGAAGGTTCTGCAGTCGACGTTTGCTCCGACTCGTCGGACGAACTCTCAACCCCTACATCAAGGACCTGGGGAACCCACAAAGGAGCCGGAACTACCCTATGGGGACGCTCATCAATTTCCTCATCATCGCTATCGTCGACCGCAAATGGATACACTCGCTGTCCAGTGTTCATATAAGCTTCTGCAGCGGCAAACGTGACAACACCATCAGCTATGCGACGCGGCCCCGTGGCTTCCAACCACAAGATCATGGCCGTCGTCACATGCACACGATACGCTCTTGCAGTAGCTCTCAAACTCTCGTGGTCCCTAGCCTGGGTTCCCAGAAACGTGAGAAGTACGAACCCATGCTGGGAAAACAAACGCCAGAGATAGTGAATGACGTAAGGAGGCGCCCAGGCAACATAAGGAAACAGAGGTCCAGCCGGGCACTCCCTGACCCTAGTCCCGAAACCACCACCCTGGGCAACCCACTCATCGACTAAACCAAACCACTGAGGACAATCAAACTCTAGTGCCCTGGGACCCTTCTTCAGTTCTTGATACACAGCATCAACTAACGCATACAGCTGATAGTTAGACACCGTTCGAAGTTGAAACCATCCATCAGCCCCATCACCTAAGCACTCAAGGATCAACACGCCTACTTCGGAGAACAACCTCACAAGAAAGTGAACCCTGCTCCAACTTCCAAGATAAGGGAACTCATCGAAATCATCCCCGCACTGAAAGGAATCCTCATAGCAGACTGACAGGTTCCAGTGGCTATTAAATCCATGGCTTCCGGAGCTTCCTCCAAGTCCGACTTCCTGTTCCCCACTCTCTAACGGAACAAATGGAGCAGCGCTACTAGAACTCCCCCCAATCTGCACCTCAGGCGTTGGAACCTCAAAAGATCGGGTAAACCCATGGGCTACACTAGCTTGCGGCACTGCAACCTCTGATACGGCACTAGACTGCTGCTGCACTGCAAACTCTGATGCGGCACTAGACTGCGGCACTGCAACCTCTGATGCGGCACTAGACTGCTGCGGCACTGCAAACTCTGATGCGGCACTAGACTGCGGCACTGCAACCTCTGATGCGGCACTAGACTGCTGCTGCACTGCAACCTCTGATGCGGCACTAGACGGCTGCGGCATAGCGACTTCCCCAAGAGACTCGAACCCGCTGTGAGCCGGAAAAGCTTCTCGGAGCGTGGATCTTGAACCTGTCGGACTGCCCTGTGGAAACTCCGCCCGAAGCTCTGGTCCCTGAACCTGCACCGGCATCCACTGGTGTCCCGTGTCCGTCTGCACAAACCGAAATTCAGCTCGAAACTCGGGATCCCTCGGCATACCTTCCTCACGCCCTGTATCCCGAATTCCCGCTGCGATCACCAACACAGCATGGGCTCTCAACCGGTTGCAACTGCACCTTAATCGCGTCCACTCGGGTCTTGGAACCCCTAGGAATTCCACAAAGCGCCCACCGCCTATCGTGAGAACCGATACCAAAGTATCCAAACCGGACCGCTGAGTAACCCTGACCTGTGTTAACCCAGAATCCCCTCCAGTCAACCAACTGGGGAGGGGGCCATACCGCTGCTGAAATACCGGCACGTCAACAACCCCTCCCTTACTGAGCTGTTGTCGCAAACGGGCCCGCTGAATAAAGGTCAACCCAGTACGAACTTCAATGGCTCTAAGATTAGCTTCAGCTTGGGTCCAATCCTCACCCTCCTCAGCAGCCTCGGAATCCTGGTCCTCTGAACCGGAAGGGCCTGACTCACAACCCCCGTTAACAACAGTTGCCTCGGCTACGCTCGGCGGCCGACTTTCATCACCGCTAGTCGTTATAACAGCCTGCTCCTCGAAGCCCCCTGTTGTTTTACGGAAGAACCACCAGACTCCTAGGCCTAAAACCACGCACACCAGAACACCAACACACCAGTGAAGCCAGCGCTGCCCAATCGTCGCATTCCCAATAGGCTGCCCGAAAACTTTCGGAAGAGCAACTAACAGCGCCAAACCCGCTACGGCTTCAGGCGTCACCTTACATACCTGAGCATCCCGAGAGAGACGACTCAGTACCCTCGCGGCCTTAATTGTTTCTGGTGAAGCTGGCTGGTCTCGCACATTGATGAGGTCAAGTAAGTAGAGCAACCTGGATCGGGTTAGCGGCTTCGTGCCAATGTCCGCCGCCTGGTGCACACCAGCGAGGTGATTGACCTTCAAAACGTTGTTCTCTATTCGTTCTCGGCCTGCTTGCGCCCTCATCCTCAGGTGGCGGTTACGCCAGCCGGCTGGCGCCGTTTCGAAAGAACGGATAGCGGCGGCGTTATCGGCTAAAAGTGAAATAACACAGTCATCCGAAAGAAGTTCCTGAAGTAATGGTTGGATGGATTCCCCCAATTGAACCGAATGGATCATGCTCACGAGCTCCGCCTCTGCGGAGCTCAGGGTCGTGAACCCTTGTCTGGCGCTTTCCCACGCCAGCGGCGACCCACGCCACCCAATAATGCAGCACTGTACCGAGCGCCCGCCACACGGCGAGTGAGAAGCATCTGAGTACACTTCCAAAACGTTATTCTGTCGAGGTACAGCCAACTGACCATGATCCGAAAAATAAGGTCCTGACTTATGCAAATATTCAATCCCAAACGTCAAGGTGGAGCTGAGGTACTGAAGCACTTGCCTGCCGATAGCAATACTCAACTCCGGATCCTTAGTCGCCTGCTGTCCCATACGCGAAACAGCGTAAGCAATGTCTGGTCTCGATCGGGTACTGATCCACAATAACGCTCCTGTAATGCCCTGCGCCTCTCTGATCAATCCAGCATCGGGAACTCCTTGTTCCAGCGGTTCCGTCCACTTCGTTATGGGCGATGCCGCGGTACCCTCAATATTATACCTCTGCAGCAGCTCCTTCAAGTAAGACACCTGAGTAAGCCGGTAACCTCGGGCTGAACGGGTCACCTCAGCACCACAGAAAGTAACTGGCTCGTCACCAAACCAATTG